CTGATTATCTGTTTTGGAGCAGGTCAGATATGAAGCATTTTCGGCGGGGATATGCAGAAAAAAAATTATTTATAGAGTCAAGGCATGGCTGTAACTTACGTAAGTATAAGATACAGCCTTTTATCCATTTTTTTTTTACTTTTATTGGTCCTGGAATTGACGTAAAAATTTTTCTGTAATCTAAGTCTGGCAACACACGTTTTTGAAGGTTTGTTAAGATTTCATTATATTATGCTTTAATCTCAGAATAAAATTTGTATTTTTTTCTATTAAATTCATTGTACACATTTTTTAAAGATTTTGTGACGTGTTTTAAGAAGAAAATATTTTCAGAATGTTTGAAAATAAACACAAATTATATACTTTGAGATTGACTCAAAATGCATTCAAAAACCGAGGTGAGAAAAAGCATGTTGAAAGAGGCAGGAAGGCTTACAAGTTAGAAACAATTATAATTCATAATAATTAGGTTTCTCATAAGACATAACAACAAATTAATAGCAGTCATGCAGTGTTTATACAAGGATAATCTGGACGACTAAAAAAATTATTATAAGAAGTATCCTTTTTATAGTACGTAATATGTTAAAAAATTTTGTATTAATCAAATGTTGTATATTTATATAATGTAAAACACTCTTTAAATCGTTTGTTGAAAATTTTTATTGTTAACTCTCTTCAGAGCTGGTAATAAAAAAAATTGCGAATTGTGGTTATAAGGGTATACATGTCATGAAAAAAAAAATCTAAGCCAGCCCTGGACCCCGAAAACGACTACTTTTCACAGACTTTGTCATTTATTATGTAGATACAGGTTTCCTCTTCACGACTCCACTTACATGGATACATAAATGTACAATGCACAAGTGTTTGGGGCCAAACACCTCTCCACTCCAGCTATAGGCTGAGTATTGCGACACACGACTCACCGAGCCAGTGACGTAATCGATTAAATTAACAATGTAAGCATTGATTTCGATCGATTCACACACAAAAAAATATTTAAAAACGTACACAAAGTGTGTGAAGTATCAACTAACAATTGATACATAAACAAATTAACATTAACAAAAAAATCTGTATACGCATTTTCTCCCTGTAATGCTACAAAATGGATGAGAGAAAAAATCGCTTTTGAAATGAGAGCGGAGAGAAAAGTATCAGGTTCCCGACACTATCAATTACGTTTATACTTGATCAGTCAATCATTGAAAATTTTGAATACATCCTTAAAATTACATTTGTGACTTTTTAAGTGAGTTAACTGTTTTGAACGCAAGTTTTTAAATATTTACTAGCTTAGTTCCCTCACATGGAAATGTTCACTAGTTAGTATCGCCAGTTGTAGTCGATACAGCCAACTGTTTTTGTTTTTCGATAATACGGAATTCTCAATACCCACAGTGGATATGCTAGCTGACCTTGAACGGCACCAATTGGATGGCCTTAAAGGACTATAGGATCGCTTTTATGGCGTCAAAAAAAGTTGATGATTTTATGAATTCCATTAATTTCTTGAACCCTGTATTGTTGACGATGGCCGTGTCTTCTGGTAAACAGACAAGCGTAGACTTGCAAGTCTTAGAAATAACGGATAAACGTACTGCAAACGCTCGTTTGTCGATATTATTTTTTTTTAATTGTCGGTTAAAGTGTTATTTTCACTGATAACACCTTATCGTGCGCAACATTAATAAATAAATACCTCATCAAGTTTAAAGTAACAACAAAAAGTACACAACTAACATGTTTCAAAAACCGTGGTGAAATCTTTTTACACGGTTTTAAAAAAATGATGTACATAAACATTCAAACGGGTTTTAAGGGAAACTACTTCTGATAAGTGCACGTTGGCACATGGAAAAAGAATATCTACAAAATACCAAAAAATCTCTTTGAAAACGGTGGTTTCCTTAGTTAGAGCCTTGATAACTTGTGGATCGTTTTTCTACCAACACCGAGTATTAGGCCGTTTTCTGTTCTACCATCGTAAAATTTCTGACTGACAAACATTAATTTTCGTCTCGTGAGCGCTATCGCCGCCGGGGCCATCTCTCGATCCAAACAACTGTTACATAGCCCTGGTTGGATGGCGCTTATGCGTCGAACTCTGCTTTTTCAAAAAATGAATGTCCAAAGGTTACGAAAAACGCCAGAAGCGGGAAAAATATTTTCCGTACTTAAAATACAAACACCCGTGCTCCTCCCGTTATCGAGAGAGCGGATGTTTTTTAGGTAGGTTAGTACAAATTTTTTTCAACGCGGAGCCTAGTGGAGACATTCCCATTTCTGCCTGCCAACGGAAAGAGCACACTCGCATGGTTCAACTACAATAACAATAAAATCACGAGATATCTGGAATGTTATCAATGGCCTGCCAGTTGATGAGTACAGTGACTTATCGCTCGAACTGGGACTGTTTTTTTTACGGCATATTTATATTCACCTCTTATTCCATTCATAAACGGCTAATTCACGTTCTTTCGAAAAAATGAACTCACGTCAAAGACAATATTCACCCTACCAGAATGTATGGTTTCTCGGGGGGTACTGATCAAAGTAATGAATCACAGCTCTTGATTACGTATATCAGTGCATGGCCTGGCACTCTATGACGCGCTTCCACTGTAATCAAACTTGAACATAATCAACTGCGTTTGCGGTGGAAGTTTTCGAGAGACTTGAAAGACAAATTAAAACAAAGGTACTGTCTTAAATCGTGTTTTAACGCATGTCATAAAGAAAAACAATTTCCAGGAACTAGCTCTGACAACGGGAAGGATCTGCGGTTGTGCGCACGCTCGGTAAGTATGACATTGCACACCGCAAAATTGGGGAGAGATCGATGGAAGCGGAACTTATATTACACAGTTGCTTCCCTCTTTCTCTCCCTCAATTTTACTTTCGATGTCGTGCAGCAATCAGTTTCAAAGCTCTCACCCTTTCCCACGTTTTTTAACCCTATGGATCATGTACGCGAAGAGAGAAACAACTTTCTCTGTAGGAGTCTCGTCGTCGGGGGGGGGGGGCAGTTGTGCAGATTCGTGCATGGTCCATCAGCCAAGGCTCACTTTCTCGCTCGTGCGACTCTTTTCACTCTCTGTCGGCTCGTTACAAGTGTACGCCGCTACGCGCATGAATGACGATTCGCCTATACTACAATTAAATCCTCGCTGACGACTTACGCCATTAACCGCTGTCAATGGACGTCGATCTTGTCGCCGTAAGCGTCTTTTTTTTTTTATCGTCCGGCCAAGAGTGGCTCTCGAGACGACTATACTTTTTGTGTGCTCTCGGCTTTTGCCCATATTTTTCCTTTCTCTCCTGAACAAGGTAGCTACACTGTTTTTCTTATCCATCGTTTTTTTTTTGTCTATGGCTCTTATCGTTCGATTTTTGCAGTTTCATTTTAGTGGGTCGGGTATGAAGAGAAATTGGTCATTTGTTCGGCGATACTGTTACTTAAACACTACAGCAACACCTCGGCAACAGTCACAATTTACCCAATAGGCACAGAGAATTTTCGAAGCGTGCGTAATTCTAATGAGCCATGTAAAACTTTAAGTATTTCAAATAAATTACGTTGTAAAATTTTTTCACCGGTTTTCAAAAAAAAAAAAAAAAAATTAAAAAACCCAAGTGTATGGCGTTCGAGTTCTCGTGAGTATATTAGCTGCTTTTCACTTTGCAAAATCAGGCACATTAATTTCGCAACTCGAGCGCTAGAAAGTCGACGAAACACCGTCCACGCGATTTCTACAGTCCCATTCGATCCGGCTTAATTACTTTTACACGGTTCGTCCTCAATTAGCTGCAATCGGGCTTGATTACCAGAATAATGCAACGAAATTTTTACAAACGCGGTGCAATAATCCACTGTTGAAAAGAAATCTTTCGGTTTGAAGTTGAATAATCCCGACTCTCAGGGCGCGAAAAGGGACGAGGACAAACGTCAATACACCGTGGTGGCTGTGAGGTCACGACAAGAAGCTGCATTCACCGGGAAGGAGGCAGAATATCTTTGGCATCGCGTGCAGGAGACGAAAGAGGAGAAAAAGGGGAAGGAAGCTGTGGCACACGCACACCAGGAGAAGAGACGAGTTTTTTCAGCTCGCATTTCCTCTCCGGACGAGGCACCACGAGGGGGGCGGAGGGCGGAGGTGTTCCTACAGAAAAGTATAAGCGAGAGAGAGAGAGAGAGCAACGCAAGGTTGTAATAGCGCTGTAAGGTGTATAAAACAGGCGTCTATATAACGCGCTTGCTCCTTCTGGTGTGCAAAACGCCCGAGAGACCCCAAGTGATATCTTTTTCTCTCTCGCTCACTCGTGACGCTCATTCACTTTCTTGGTCTATCTGATCATGTACGTACACACACTCACCCACACGCGCGTGTGCGCTCATGCACATTTTTGTGTATACACAAACCAGTGCACGTTCGAACTATCAGCTATACTTACTTATAATATATCCGAGAGCACTTTCTACTGCCTTTGCGGTGTGTGGTCACCGACAGGATTATATATTGCATTGGCCAACATATGAAGTATATATATCCTCGCCTAAACACACAGGTAAGTACGTGGAACGGAGGAAAGCTTTGGGACAGCTTAAATAATGAGAAAATTGCAAAAATAAACTGTCAAAGGATTTCGGAGCACGAAGCTTGTGAAAAGAACCAACAGCAAGCGAGGTGGACTCCGATTCGACGCCCGTGGGGCGACAAGCGAGGCCATCAGCGAGTGTCCTGATGTGCATCATCGCTTTTCATGACGCGCCGGTGGGTACACATCGATATACATGTCACAACAATTTGAAAGCTCAGAATTCGGGCGAGGTCCGTCATAACAAAGCAATACCATCTGCTCCAAATGAAAAATCTCACGACGCACGCGATTGGGACAATAATACAATCAGAGAGGTGTAGAGAGGCGCGGCACTTGAACCAGCAGCCGTGCACAGTAGGGTATAAGGTATAAGCAGGTATAGGTACAGTACTCACGGGAAGTCTGCGACCTCTGTCCACTGTAAACAAATCCTCAGCAGAGCAAAACAGCTTGACTAGGGGACTGTGCAGTATTTCGGGGCAGTAACTGACGGACGACAGCTGCAGGAATGGTATGCAGCAGCCAGAGCATCGCCATTGTGCGATCGGGCGTACAGGCACTAGCACATATACAGAACTACTAAACAGCCACGGCGGCTATACACTGGTATACGGTAGCACTACAGGGCACATAAGGACGCACAGCGTAGAACGTCTGAACGTAGACTGCGGGGATATTACGTGCCGCGTGCGCTGCTTCTCGCTCCGACCGAGAGCAGCAGCACCTACTGTGACATACTGACAAAAGGCATGTATACATGTATACAATGGCAATATACGTTATGTGTAGGCCAGTAGATTTGGAAAAAAAAATCTTTATATAATTACGCACAGTTAAGCTTGTTCGTTATTTCGTTAGTATCTCCAATAAAATGGTGTTGCAAGTTGCAATGCGGAAAAAAAACTCAAAAAATGTAGTTTTTTTCTAGTTTTCTACTATCATTTTATAATTGCCCATCAAAATCTTTTTTTTATTTTTATCGCATAGGTAGATGATATTTGGTCCATCATTTGTTTGAATGATGAAAAATTCCAGTCTAAAATTGCAAAATTTTTATTATTTTAAATTTTGAAAAGCTCCAATGAACGCAAAATTTTAGGGGGGGGGGGGGTACGTTTTTTATGCTCCAGAACAAATAAGCAAAATTTTATCAAAAAAATTATCATTTGGAAACAAGAAATTCTATTTGCTTATTATAATTTACACAAAAAATTTATTGACATTTAAGACACTTTTCATCATCTGAATATTAATGCATATTAATAATGCACACATTTTTTCATCGAAGCCCGTACTTAGTTAATGATTTTGCGGTGAGCATATGTATTTTTTTTTAATATTTCGAAAACTAATGATCAACTATCATGTAATTTTCAAAAATATGTTGCTGATAATTTTATACAAATTAAAAAAGAAATTGTTGTAACACAAATAGAAAGAATAACCAAAATACGTTTTTTATTTTTTTTAATACTTTCCTAGTTGTTCATTAACAAGAAAAAGTTCTCCAAATTCTGTATATAGCTAAATAAATATTTAAATGTAGTTGATCTGCTTTCAGTGATGCGAAAATAGCCTTCTTAACACGTACACAATCATTTTTATAGAATTTAAATTTATATTACATACATTTATAGAAAACACTAAAAAAGAATAGCTTTTTAAGAATAGCAATAGATTAAGGCTTGTTTTTTATTGGAAAAACAAAATTTGAGGTTAAAAAATTCACGCAATTACCTTCTACATTGATCACTTATTCTTAAAAGTTTGACAGGTTTTCTCTGCACATTTACCAAAAAAATCATTAAACCTCCTTAATTGATCTAAACAAACGTAGACAAAAGAGTATGTTCTAAGAAAACGATAAATTTTTGTTTTAGTGTACGTAAAATTACTATATCAATAATTTTAAAATAACTGTCGGAAAATTTGTTTTATCATGCGAGAAGATAAATTTAGAACATTTTATATTTAAACTAATACAATGAAACAGTATTTTTTCTACTTTGACTTGGGATTACGCTTTGTATAACTGACCTTTTTTTTTAACTATATACTTATGATTGATCATTTTATTAATGTAGATGTACTTCCCAAATTTAAACTTATTTTTAGAATAAAAGCTTTCGTTCTAGTTTGATTCACAGTTATAATTTTTCTATAATGTTTTAGTAAGATAACATTGTAACTCGCAGTGGTGTACTACTAAATTAAGTACAAAAAACCATTAAACTGGGCTTAAAATTTTAATAGCTGTAATTTATATAATTTCATGGCTCAATAGTCTAAATAGGGCATACTTCTCTATCAATATCCGAGGGGATCAGGGTTCGAATCCCACTATGTGTAAAAATTTCAAAAACGTTTTTTTTTCTAGATTTTTATTGACTAAATTTGAGTTCAGTACGACGGGGGTTGCATGGGATGGTCAATCGACTGTTCCACTCTTGAGCTGAGGTGTCTAGATTTATATTATACCGGCAGGAGAGATTTTTAATGAATAAGCGCGCTAGAGAGCCTACAATAGTTGAAAAATCAAGTCCCAAGTTATTAAAACCTAATGATTCTCTACCATAAAACCTAAATTTTTCAAACTTACATCATAGCGCTTCCGAACTACTGGACTAATTTTATTTATTACATTATTTTTTGGTGTAAAAACAATACTTCTACGTAACCTAAAACAAAAACGATATTTCTAGTAAGCTTATCTTAAAAAATAGTTTAGTACCTTCATTTTTACATTTCCTTCAGTAACATGTGAAAATTTTACACATTTCAAGCCCAAACTTTTCTATTGGTTAAAAGTGAAATGAAAAATTTATTTACTATTTCATCATACAGTTTTCTCCGTAATAATATATTTCACCCAGGATTATGTTGGCCAAATCACTAATTTTCATCACCAAATTGTTTTGTTTTACTGGAACGTTTGTATTCAGCCCAGAACCTATTAAAATAATATTTTCATACGAGAGGCCACAGTATAGTGTAGTGGTTTAGGATTTGGATCTTGTAGCTTGGGGGATTGGTATCACATGCTCACAAATTGATTCACGATCCTTATTCACTTCGCTCGCACCTCTTCGTAACTAATTTCTTATATTATGTGCGCATAGTCAGCGGGTCCCAATGGGACACCCACCTACCGACAAATTCAAACGTTCTAAAACCAATAAACTTAATTTCAAGTCCCCTAGCCCTTTAGCCCACGTGCTTGAACCACATAACCCTGAACTCTTCTGCATTTAAACCGAATGACTCAGGGGCATGGATTTCAAGTAGTCAGTAACTTCATTTTTTAATTAACAATAAAAGAGCTACTTATCTCAAATAAAGGCAATAACTTGTAAATTATTGTAATGGTATTTGTAGGTTGAAAAAAGAATCAATTATCGAAAAAACTCGGTGAAGCGCTTGTCAATAAATAGTTATTTACGTAACAAGTGCGGAAAAGACGATTTCCCGCACGAGTAGTGATTGACTCACACGAGTGCCGGAGTTGACGGGAACGAGTACCAGTTGAGCACACGAGTGCGTAGCACGAGTGTGATCGCAAGGTACGAGTTACCGTCACCGGCCACGAGTGCGAGTCTATCACACGAGTGCGGGAAATCGTCCCGCACGAGTTGCGTACAAGTTTTTTTGCAATGTGTGAGGAAAATAGGTACAAAATAGGTTTGAATTTTGATTTCCAGTGTGTAGCAAAATTTTTTCCGGTGTGTGGCAAAACCTTTTCCACACNACACACCTAAATTTTTTTTGTTAAATTTCAAACTTTTGACAGAAATAAGAATGCATGACTGTAATGTATGCACTGTTATTAGATAAACTCGTGAAAATATTTTCTGAAAGCACTAAATTATCAGTTAATAAATACTTCTGTTTAGCTACTCATTTTTTTTTTAATGATAAGCAAACTATATCAAAATCAGCGTAGTCTATATTTATTTAACGTTTTATTTGTTTTTAGTTATCTGTGATAAAATAATATGTTTGTTAAAAAATGTTAAGTACGACTAAGAGCAAGTTCGCTAATTTTTAACAAAGTTTTAATACATCCCATACCTGCAAAACACAATAGTTCGATGCAATTTTACAAGAAAAGTACTTATTTCTTGACCTCATATAAATTAACTCTCAATTTTTGAGGTACTAGAAAATACAATTTTAAAAGGTGAAAAATCAACAAAGTTAGTCGTCAATTGAATCTCTTTTTTTGAAAGAAAGAATCAATCCAAAATTTGTGTATCATTCAACAATAGCCAAAAATGCTTCACTTCCTATAAAAAACATTCAAAATATTCGAAAGAGAAGATTAAATTAATGACTTAAGAGCATTTATCCAAACTCTGATGAACATATAAAGAAAACGTAAATAAAAAAATTATTTTTGCTTATGGTAAAGGAAAAAAAAGGAAAAAAGATTTATCCATTTACTTGTTCGCGTTTACGAGATATAAGGAGAAATACAGTTAAATAGTAATTTGGTATCTCTAGATACTCTATGGAACAAGAATCCGATCGACCAAATCGCTTATATTTACAAAATATATAAGACTAACAGAAAGCTTCGATGGCTTAGTAGAAAGCCTGCTAGCCTACTAGCCGGGGAGATACTTCGAGGGGTCATGGGTTCGAATCCCGTCAAAAATTATAGATTTTTTCGCTGTTTTTTCTGATGAGGTGAGTACCCAGGATGCCGAAACACTTCTTATCCGATTTTTAAAACCAAATAGTCGATTTTTCTGGTGCTAACTGGACCTTCCTTTCCAAAGGAAGACAATACATGGAGGCTTTTTTTCCAAAGGAAAGCCAACACATGGCCAGCTTATCGAGTAACGTCACTATTGGTCATAGAAAGGTCGGAACAGTGAGTTTAGATGGTTTATTTAATATCTTTCCGTTAAATTCGATAATAGTTGGGGTGTGCTTGAGACAACCGCTGCGCTCTGTAAATAGTACCCGGTAGGATAGATGGCCGAATCGTCTGAGGGAAATTTTGCAAAGGACCCGCTCGAAAGACTCGCATACTTGGGACATAGAATGGTAATTACGAAAAAAGAACAAAGAAGGTAAAGATTAGGGACATAAGATATGTAAAAATCCTGCAATAGATGTATGTTGGAATCATAATATAATATGTATAAAAGTCTAACAGCTTCCTGAATCTTTATTGATTTGACTTCAGATTTCCAGCTCCTCCTTGGGTGTCTATGAAGATTTTCCCCTCCCGTTCCATCAAACAAAAAAAAAAAAAAAAAAAAAAAAAAAAAAAAAAAAAAAAAAAAAAAAAAAAAAAAAAAGTAAAAAAAATTATGGCAAACTAATTTTAATGATGTACGTTTTCTATCACTCTCGTAAAATAGTTTATTCGACTAAAAAGTTGTTTATCCTTATAATCAAAGTCACCGATGCCGCTGCTTCTTTGGAGGGTATAAAAAGCCAATGCCAGTCGATGTTGATTACTTTTGCCATCAGCAACGAGTCTGGCACTTTGGCTAGGGAGCTCTTCTCTTCAAAACGCTAATGTACCTTAATACATCGCAACAAATGGCGAAATTATATTTGATTACGACTTTTTACATATTATACCTTTCACTTTATATATTACTCTGGCTAAACGGAGGAAGAATAGGCTATTATAGCCTCCTAGTTTTCCCCGTCCACCAGTGACTTCTCTCTTGTGTTCCTCGGGCAAAGAGCGGATCTCCAGGGCAAGGCAAACTGGAGCTATCCTCTAGGTAAGGTAAATAGGACAATAAATTTTTTTTAATTTCTTTGCTGTAGTATCAGGATTCAAAGCCAAATACTGCCCAAGACTTAAAATCAACTTCTAACCTTAAAATTAATACTAAACACCAAGTTTTTTATTATTTCGTCTATGCAAGGGAAAAGTTTATTTTTCCACTCACTTTTAATTTAATTGTGTGTATGTAAAAAAGTTAAAGAAGCTTGTGAAGCAAAAATCTAATCTCAAATTTCAGTTACATGTCAATTTGATAAATATATTGAAAACAGAAACATTCAGAGGTATAGTTTATTTTTCATTCTCTTCGTTATTCAGTATGTAATTATAAAAACATACAAAAAAAATTCTGGTATCAGTAACTAACCTAAAAAATAATCATTATACCATGAATTCTTGAATATTTTGTAAGTGAGAGTAAACAATAAGATTATATTTTTTTATTCCCATCTAGATTTAATACATTAATGTAAATAATATTTACGAAAGCCTAGAAATCGAGATCTAACCTTCAACATTTTATATACGTTGCCAACGCAATCATTTAAAGACATTTTTTTAAATCTTTTTGTTATTCATTATAATATCATGAAAATATACTTATCAAGTCATGACATTAGTATCTGATATAAATATACTCATTATACTATGAATTCTTGGATATATAAGCAGCACAAAGGGATTTACATGAATACTTAATACTTAAATCAACAAAATTGAAAACAGCACAGGAATCAAAATCTAACTTTAACATGCTCATAGTATGTCAGTTTTATGCATATCTTACAAACGTTACTAAATAAAAAAATTTTTCTTTCTTTACTTTTTTCATTCTTTAATACAAAATTGGGATAAAATACTAAGGATGCTAGAGAAGTCAACCCTAACCTAAAAATCAATCAATTGTTGTCTTAATTCTGTGAAAATCTTGCTACTTTAAACACACACACCTAAATTTTTTTTGTTAAATTTCAAACTTTTGACAGAAATAAGAATGCATGACTGTAATGTATGCACTGTTATTAGATAAACTCGTGAAAATATTTTCTGAAAGCACTAAATTATCAGTTAATAAATACTTCTGTTTAGCTACTCATTTTTTTTTTAATGATAAGCAAACTATATCAAAATCAGCGTAGTCTATATTTATTTAACGTTTTATTTGTTTTTAGTTATCTGTGATAAAATAATATGTTTGTTAAAAAATGTTAAGTACGACTAAGAGCAAGTTCGCTAATTTTTAACAAAGTTTTAATACATCCCATACCTGCAAAACACAATAGTTCGATGCAATTTTACAAGAAAAGTACTTATTTCTTGACCTCATATAAATTAACTCTCAATTTTTGAGGTACTAGAAAATACAATTTTAAAAGGTGAAAAATCAACAAAGTTAGTCGTCAATTGAATCTCTTTTTTTGAAAGAAAGAATCAATCCAAAATTTGTGTATCATTCAACAATAGCCAAAAATGCTTCACTTCCTATAAAAAACATTCAAAATATTCGAAAGAGAAGATTAAATTAATGACTTAAGAGCATTTATCCAAACTCTGATGAACATATAAAGAAAACGTAAATAAAAAAATTATTTTTGCTTATGGTAAAGGAAAAAAAAGGAAAAAAGATTTATCCATTTACTTGTTCGCGTTTACGAGATATAAGGAGAAATACAGTTAAATAGTAATTTGGTATCTCTAGATACTCTATGGAACAAGAATCCGATCGACCAAATCGCTTATATTTACAAAATATATAAGACTAACAGAAAGCTTCGATGGCTTAGTAGAAAGCCTGCTAGCCTACTAGCCGGGGAGATACTTCGAGGGGTCATGGGTTCGAATCCCGTCAAAAATTATAGATTTTTTCGCTGTTTTTTCTGATGAGGTGAGTACCCAGGATGCCGAAACACTTCTTATCCGATTTTTAAAACCAAATAGTCGATTTTTCTGGTGCTAACTGGACCTTCCTTTCCAAAGGAAGACAATACATGGAGGCTTTTTTTCCAAAGGAAAGCCAACACATGGCCAGCTTATCGAGTAACGTCACTATTGGTCATAGAAAGGTCGGAACAGTGAGTTTAGATGGTTTATTTAATATCTTTCCGTTAAATTCGATAATAGTTGGGGTGTGCTTGAGACAACCGCTGCGCTCTGTAAATAGTACCCGGTAGGATAGATGGCCGAATCGTCTGAGGGAAATTTTGCAAAGGACCCGCTCGAAAGACTCGCATACTTGGGACATAGAATGGTAATTACGAAAAAAGAACAAAGAAGGTAAAGATTAGGGACATAAGATATGTAAAAATCCTGCAATAGATGTATGTTGGAATCATAATATAATATGTATAAAAGTCTAACAGCTTCCTGAATCTTTATTGATTTGACTTCAGATTTCCAGCTCCTCCTTGTTTTAGTTATTGATTCTTGTTAAATTGAAACAAATATAAATAAGTTGGTTTCCTTAAATAAAAAAATTCGTAAGATGTTATATACAGTTATATTTGTAAGGAATTATATATACTTATGTTATTAAGTATTAGGTCACAAATAAAAAAAACAAATTCGCCTACTGTACTTATCAATAAATTAATTTTTTTCTGCAAACTGCATGATTTTTGGTTCTACTGTAAATTATAAA